CCTCCTGCCATCCTTTAAAAACTCACACCCATTACCCTAGGGACCATTCTCAGCCACGCCCAAAAACGCTATAAAAAGACCATATATCCATATTTTATTCCACTTTGTTAGGATGCCTGGGTCGTCGACCCAGGGTTTTTGGAGTTTATGATATTATTTATACTTTCTAGTTTTTGGTTTCTTTGAGTTCTGTCTTATGGCTTATGTCTCTGTCTTCTTTAGTTGCTCTGTCTCCCCTATCACCTGCATCCCCTTGTCTAGTTCGCGTCTATGTGTATCCTAAGTTCCTATTTCCCCGTGTTCAGTCAGTGTTTGTGTCTGCCCTGTTCCCACGTCTCTGTTCCCTTTGTTATAGTGCCTGCCCGTGAGTCTGTGTTATGTTTCCTGTTTTACTTTGAAAGTCCATGTCTGATGTTAATGTGTCTGGTTTTGCTTCCCCTTGTCTCGTTAGGCCTGATTTGCCCCAGCTGTGTTTCCCTCCTGTTACCCATTCCCTGATTGTTCCCTCTGTGTATTTAAGCCCCGTGTTTCTTAGTGTCTGTGTCGCGATCTACCGTTTATTTTGCTGTGTGTTTTGCCTGTCCACCGGTGTAAGTTTATTTTGAGTTTTTTCCCGTTATGTCATGTTTGCGTTCAGCATTAAAGCTGTTTTGGTTTAAGTTCTGTCTCCGGAGTCTGCACCTTGGGTCCTATTCCTGTCTGCACACAGCCTCACCTAACAGAAGATCGCGACCAGAACATGGACCCTGCAGACTCTTTTTCCTTTGAGTTCAATGGCGAGATGGAGCGGCTGGTGCGCCTGCTCGACCGCATCGCCCAGTCCCCGGATTTAAGGACCATGGCAGTGGGGCTGAGCGCGGTGGAGGCCATCATTCGGCATAATCCCCAGCTTAGCCAGTTCGCTAAGGACACTGAGTTGGGGAACACCATAACTGCCTGGAGAGAGCAGGTCAGGGCTAGTGAGCTTGCTCTCTCCCTCACTACATCTTCCCCACCGCTGCCGCAGAACAACGCACACTCTGCTTCATCGCCACTGCAGGCTTCCTCCCCTTCCTCACGCCAGCTGGGACCTTGTTCGCCTGTCCGTTCGCCTGCCCTTTTCCTGGCGGCTGTGTGGTCGGAGGATGAGGAGGAGGTCTCCGTTTCTCCACCGGTTCCTGTTCCCTCGTCTAAAAGGAAGCGACGCCACCGTCGCTCCTCTCCTCGGTCATCCGTTCAGCTTCCTGTCTCCGCTGGAGGGTCCGAGGAACCGCTTCAGCCACCTGTCTCCGCTGGAGGGTCCGAGGAACCGCTTCAGCCACCTGTCTCCGCTGGAGGGTCCGAGGAACGCTTCAGCCGTCTCTTCCCGCTGGAGGGCCCGAGGAATCGCTTCAGCCACCTGTCTCCGCTGGAGGGTCCGAGGAACCGCTTCAGCCGTCTCTTCCTGCTGGAGGGTCCGAGGAACCGCTTCAGCCGTCTCTTCCTGCTGGAGGGTCGAGGAACCGCTTCAGCCACCTGACTCCGCTGGAGGGTCCGAGGAACCGCTTCAGCCACCTGACTCCGCTGGAGGGTCCGAGGAACCGCTTCAGCCGTCTCTTCCTGCTGGAGGGCCCGAGGAACCGCTTCAGCCTCACGCCTCGTCAGCTGGAGGGCCCGAGGAGCCCGTTCAGCCTCACGCCTCGTCAGCTGGAGGGCCCGAGGAGCCCGTTCAGCCTTCTGCCACGTCAGCTGGAGGGCCGAGGAGCCCGTCCAGCCGCCATTAGCCTCTGCCTCGGCTCCGCCTGGTCCGGCCTCTGCAGCTCCGCCTGGTCCGGCCTCTGCAGCTCCGCCTGGTCCGGCCTCTGCAGCTCCGCCTGCTCCTGAGGTCTCCCTACTGTCTGTTCCTGTCCGGCCTGCACATCCTGTCCGTCCTGCACGTCCTGTCCGGCCTGTCCGGCCTGCTCGTCCTGTCCGGCCTGCTCGTCCTGCATGTTCTGTCCGGCCGATGACTGGACGTCGTTGCCGTCATGGTCAGCCCTCTGAACTACGCCGCCGTCATGGACGGCCCCTGAACTACTCTGCCACCAGTGCCTCCCGCCCGGCCGGCCTCCTGACCTGCTCGGTCGCCACCGGTGCCTCCGGGCCGCCCCCCTGAACTGCCCGGGATTGGACTATCGTGCTGTCAGCCTCTGGGCCGGCCCCCTGAACTTTTTTTGAGACTATTGCCTGGGCCTCTGCGCCTTTCGTGAGCTCTTTTGTTTGTTTGCTTTTGGACTTTGCCTGGGCCTTGGTGTTGTTGTTTTGGACTTTGTTTCTGTGTTTTGTTCTGTTGCTTTCCGGGCTCCAGTGTTTGCACTGTTTTTTGTTTTGTTGTTTCTGGCTCCTTGTTTGGTTTGGTTCGAGCCCTCCATCCTGTTTCCCCGCCGCCCACCCTGGTTGGGTTGTTTTTGATGTTTTGGTTTGGGCTGTCTGGAAGCCAGCCCTTAAGGGGGGGGTACTGTTAGGATGCCTGGGTCGTCAACCCAGGGTTTTTGGAGTTTATGATATTATTCATACTTTCTAGTTTTTGGTTTCTTTGAGTTCTGTCTTATGGCTTATGTCTCTGTCTTCTTTAGTTGCTCTGTCTCCCCTATCACCTGCATCCCTTGTCTAGTTCGCGTCTATGTGTATCCTAAGTTCCTATTTCCCCGTGTTCAGTCAGTGTTTGTGTCTGCCTGTTCCCACGTCTCTGTTCCCTTTGTTATAGTGCCTGCCCGTGAGTCTGTGTTATGTTTCCTGTTTTACTTTGAAAGTCCATGTCTGATGTTAATGTGTCTGGTTTTGCTTCCCCTTGTCTCGTTAGGCCTGATTTGCCCCAGCTGTGTTTCCCTCCTGTTACCCATTCCCTGATTGTTCCCTCTGTGTATTTAAGCCCTGTGTTTCTTAGTGTCTGTGTCGCGATCTACCGTTTATTTTGCTGTGTGTTTTGCCTGTCCACCGGTGTAAGTTTATTTTGAGTTTTTCCCGTTATGTCATGTTTGCGTTCAGCATTAAAGCTGTTTTGGTTTAAGTTCTGTCTCCGGAGTCTGCACCTTGGGTCCTATTCCTGTCTGCACACAGCCTCACCTAACACACTTTAAATTAGCCAACCTTGTAAAACTACTTCTCCCTGAAATATTCATGTACAGTTTTTATTATATTTTCGTTGTTTTAACCCTTCAAATCCCAGTGTTATTACATGAGTGCCCTGTGTTATAAGCCCCAAAAAACAAAACTAAATATTTCCACAAAAAACCAGTTGAAGTAATATGTGATTGTTATTATAATTAGGCCTTTAGATGGACAAAAGATTGACACCAACATTCATTTTGATCCATTTTTAATTTTTTTTGCAGAAGCCAAAAATGGTCTCCAGGCGGCGCTGCTGCTCCAGCTCCCCGGGGAGGAGTGCCTCTGCCGCGGGTGTGTCTCGCGCAGCGCCGGGGCATATGGTTCGGTTTCCGTGTCTGCAGCACACACTTCCGCTACCACGTGAAAACAAATACGTCATTTCCTGTTGATTTAAAAAAAAAAAAAAAAAAAAAGCACCATCAAACGATCCTAAGGGAAGGAAATGGTCCAGCCCGGTCAGCGGGCCGAGCTCCCGCTGCATGCGGGGAATGAGTGTGCCTTTTCCCGCGAGTGTGTCTCGAGCAGGCCGCTGGAAAGGGGTATTTCCGAGCAGGCGTCAAATGTGAAACAAGGGCGCCACCTGGTGGACAAATAAAAAAATTACAACTCTAAGGCCTCTAGTACAAAACGAAACCTAAGCTGGATTCAAGACGATCCCTTTGACCGTAATTTTTTAGCCGTGAAAAATAGCGTTTATAATGGAAGTCAACGGGCACAAAATGACCACTAGGGGTATGGGTGTGGGGATTTTTGCTGCTCAGCCATTTTAGGCTGATTTAAGAAATTAACACTGAAATATTAAATCGGACAGAAAAAAAACTATCCTTTAACAAGTTTGGTTATGTTCCACTGAACACAGTGGAAATGGCAGCCATTTAACACATGTAAGTGGCAACAAATGGCCCAAGAAGGCAGGAAGGTTCAGTAAATTCAGAAGGTCATATTCATAATAAAAATAACCTCAGTTTGTAAATGTCAAAACAATAAAAGTATTGTTTTGGGAGAATAAACTCACAGATCAAATGTTAGATACTGAAACATTATTTCAGTCCTTCCAAGATACAGAGTTATAATAAAAATTTGCCAGTTATCTGTCCTGAGTCTGACCGCTCTTACATCTGTGTTCTTCATTAACGTCTTGTCTTCAGGCTTATAATTTGGCCGGTTTCTCTTAAATATTTGTGAACTAAAGACAGCTTCAACCCTCTGTGTGTTGACCGCACTGCATTTTCTTGTTAGTAATAGCAACACCATTGTAACGACAGAAATACTAATTAGTTAGATTACTAGTTACTGAAAAACATTTAACGCCATTATTCCCATTTGTGCGAATTTACAAAACATTATGTAAAGATTGCTGGTATTTTTGTGCCCTTAAAAAGTGGAAATAATGATGAGAGCTGAATGAATGATAGTGACACGCAGATCTCGTTTTCACTCGTCTGTATTGAGTGTTACAAAAACAACACAACCCAAACCATATTCTCTCTGCATGGATACACTCAGTCTCAGGACCACAGTTTCCAAACTAAGTTGCCCTGTTTTAACTTATGAGAGTATTTAGACGGTGCACAACTTGAACTGTAACATAAGGTAAATACATCTTTTTAACTCACATATGTTAGCTGACACATTCGCTGACTTTCAACAGTAATGAAATAATACTTTATGCGCTGTATATGTCTTTCAGTAGTTAACTTAAATACAGATAGTGGCAGAAAAACTGTCATTCAATAAGGCGGGACACCAGTGAAAGCTAGCTTAAACAGCAACGGAGTTCACCTGAAACTTCTCAGCAAAAACTGTCCACAAGTCACCTCTTTCCTTACAATAAACAATGATGGTGGGCTAATAGTCAACTGTAATACACAGAGTTCTGTGCGTGCAGTTACCTTAAACAGGGGAAACGGTGAGGAGAGATGAATGATGATACTGACACAAAGCGCTGGCTTTCACTTGTCTGTACAGAGTGAAGGACAAGAGGCGCGAATCCCTCTAGTGGAGCCCTGAGGAATTACCAATGGATCGATGCACAATCAATCGAGGACATTGTTCCTTCTCGCAAATTGAAAGATATTTCACGCACTGTTATTTATAGAAGGCTTCACACTGTTCCTGCTAACCATAAATATTGTTCCTAAAGTTTTATCCAACTGTAGACAGATTTCTAAACTCCCTTTTACTTAAGTCCTGTTGAAACTTGTATTAGAAAAAATATTACAAATTATTTAAAGTTATAAAGCACAGCACAGAACTGAAATGGCACAGTAGTTAACTTTACAGTTAGGCTGGGGTACAAATTTCCTCATAAAAACCCTGCTCTTATGTGGAATGACTCAGGGGTCCATTCTTGGCCCAGTATTTTTTCCCTCAATTTATGGGTTCATAAAAACCTTTATAAAAGTGACTAAATGCTAGGTATAATAGGTATTTTTGTCTGCTTTGGATTTTACTTCTACATTTCACCTTTAAAAACCGTTTATCTTGTCTTGTTTGGTATCATTCTTTTCAGCACACCTTAACATGTCAAAATTTGCAGCTATTTTTTCATTTTGAAATACTATATTAAAACAATTGATCTCAAATCAGACAAAAAACATTAAACTCGAGTATAAAAAAGTAGAATTTTTTTCCACTAATAGAAAGCCAAGGTTTTTTCTTTCTGGGTTTTTTTTTGTCACAAACAGAGAATACTTTCAAGTGCTTCCCTTCCCACTGTAAACACAACGTTAGTATTCAGGAAAAAAAACATTGCGCATATTTTTTAATCATAACTCTGGTTTTATGTGGCCTATCAATACAATTTAAAAACTGGTAGTTTGAAGTCCACACTTTTAACACAGAAATGGAGAAACCTCTTCTGTCCGCCGATCCAGGAACTTGAATTCTTTGAATTTCAGGATACTTTTTCTTAATAAACGGTAAGCATTATACATATTGTCCTTACAGAGGTGGTTTCTCTTCTCGCAAGTGAAGTAGATTTTTTGAAGGTGTTTGTTTTTTTTCGAGGTCGCAGATGACGTCAGGAGAAGGTGATTGGTCACTTGCAATGTTGAACCTGGAACAACATTATTTATGATGACGAGGGAACAACACCAACACAAGGATATCAGATCGTCTGGACACTCAGGGTTGTCTTGGGTAGCATCTTGTTGCTATGTCATCTTACAGTAACTTGGTCAGTAGTTTACCATGACTACTTTATTCTTCCTCAGCCAATCAGCAGCACTTGTGCAATTGTAACCTGTTGTGTATATAAACCTTCATTAACTGGTTTGAGAAATCCTTTAAACCAGTGACAGGAAAGTTGGATCACAGTGGTAATTATTAAAGGACATTGATGTTTGATGTCTCATTTCATTCGTCATCTGTCATTGAAATTATCAGAGGAGGCCTGAAAGGCTCGCACTAGCTGTACAACCACTCACAGCAGCCCATTCATTCATTTTCATTGCTGACACTGGATTGCCCAATCAAATCTCTTAACTTGACCAGCCCATCCCCAGCTTGTAGGAAAAGTTCAGTGTGGAAGAAGTGGTGAAAAGATTGAGCTGAAAAGCTGAGCGAAAACAATAAACAGAAACTACAACTATTAGCCAGACCTTACAGTCACACAGCAAATCAAGGATTAAGGTCAAATGATTGGCTGCTTTCACCATGAGCCACTGCTAATTTTTAAAGTGTAGCATTTAATTATTGTCAAATGCTTTTAAAAAGAACAATCACTGCTTGTTGTTTTAAAACTGATAACTTAAGCATGTTGATTGACTCATCTTCCTTTCCGCCTGCCTGGAGGCTCCCTTAACACCTCTCTCTGCCTCCTAACAAACCTTCCCCCTCTCATCTCGCTTCATCTTTGGCCTACAGTAGCACAGTTTCCACCAACACCTTGCTGGCCAACAGAAACTCGTACCTTAAATGAAATAAATGATATGGAGCACTCCAATCATGCTTTCAAAACTACAGCAACTGTTAAAGAAAGAGGTGATAAACATGCCCCTGCGCCCGGTTCTTGTTGAAATGAGTTACTAACATGATTTCCCCTTCATGTATGGTGATAGACTGGCCAAAATATTAGGAATGCTCTGGAATTTCTGATGAAGCCAACAGTAAGTGTTGCTTTAAATCGGGGGTATTCAACAAAAATGAAAAGACTTCTTACTTCTTAATGCAAAGGTTCAGATGATCATTATTCTAAATATTTAATTACTTTAAATGATTTTATTTTATTTATTTTATTTACTTGTAATATATATTGTATTATGCATATTATATTTAAAATATAGAGATAAGAAAAATCATTAGAAAAAGTTGTTATTATTGGTATTATTAGTATTATTGCATATTAATGATGAAGGAACTGACCTCACAGGTCACAGAATCAACTTTTTGGTAACAAGTTAATGTGGTAGTTCAACAGTTTAACCAGCAGAGGGAGCCAGATAAGCTGTTTTGAATTCAACACTAACAGGCAGAGGGGGAGGAGGAGGGACTGTTGCCGTAGTAACTGAATCTACAAAAGTCAGTAAGTGTTTGTCTTAATTAAATCACACTTAGCTGTTAGTGTTCATCTTCAGGCACTGAATTCACTTACAAGAAACAGTCCAACAGATTCACACAAGGGGAACATGTTCGCTGTTTTTTCTGCAGCTGTGAGGACTGTTAGCCTGGACATAACAAGCTGTGTGGCTGCCCCACTGTTCAAACTTCAGGTTCCGAGTACCAGTTTTAGTTTTAGAGCTCAGCAGACCCAGTAGCTCATCACCACTGCTCCTCCATAACAACAGTGGTGAGGCTGAAGGGGACTGGAAAATAATGTACATGGAAAAGAATCGCTGTAAATAACACTATATAATGTTTGATGATAATACAGTCTGAAGGTTAAATAAACATGTTTACTGCCTGGTATAACACTTGGTTTCGTCTCTGGGGATAGTATTGTGTCCACTTTGACTTGTGGTAATTAAAGTGGAATTTTTCACTTGGTTGATTTGTTGAACTTTCTTAAATCTCTTCTTTAAACACAGTGTCATCTGATTGTATTTACTGACCATTTTAGAGATTTACAATCAATAACTGGGAAACAGGAAGCATTTCACACTCTGCTACCGATGAGTCTCATGGTGCTTTCACCACAAGTTTTTTAATAAAAAATAATAAAAATCTACAAAAACACACGAACATAATTTATTAGTACAGTAAAATCCTAAAAATTCAGTTAAATTTCTAGAAAACAAGAAGTGTTCATCCAGGAACCTTTAAATGGTCTTCAGATCCCCAGGCCTGCATAAAGCACCATGACGCAACTGCTGTTGTGTTCATTTGCTTATTAAAAAATTGAATTAAATTGATTAATGATTATTAAATAAACAATTATTATGCGGTCAGCACGGTGGCATGGTGGTTAGCACTGTTGCTGCACAGCAAAAAAGTCCTGAGTTCAATTCCACCATCAGGCCGGGTGCTTTCTGTGTGGAGTTTGCATGTTCTCCCCGTGTTTGTGCAGGTTCTCCCCGGATACTCCGGCTTCCTCCCACAGTCCAAAAACATGCAATAGGGGGGATAGGTTAATTGGTCAATCTAAATTGCCCATAGGTGTGAATCTGTGAGTGAATGTTTGTCTGTGTCTCTATGTGTTAGCCTGTCTCTTGCCCTATGACAGCTGGGATAGGCTCCAGTGCCCACTGCGACCCTGGAAAGGAGAAGCGGATGGATGGATAATTATTATGCTCTTCTCACATAATGTCTCAAACTGGTTACATTCATAAAATACTTGGCAGGTATTTTGTTTTTCTACAGCTGAACCATGACTCTTCAGAGTCCAGACCATATGCACTCAGCTGCTCTGTGCTGGACTTTATCTTTTTATCAATCATGGAGACCCTGCTGACTTCATTAGTTTATTAGTTGTTGATAGAAATTCCACAATATGTGGTTTATATTGTCTGGTGTGATTTTCTTTTCCCTCTTTGTAACAGGGCAGCCCTTAGCGGCTGGAAACACAGTGAGACAGACCAAGGCAAGTGTAGTGGAACAAAGTATTTATTTGCTATATGGCTCTCCTTAAAACAATTAACTTGTCGAGCTTCTTCACAGCACAAAAATCCATCCTCTAATGACAACTGGCAGCCTTAAATATGTTCAGCTGTCACAGACTTAACCATTATTCCACTCTCAGGTAAATTCTTAAATCCCAACCTTCCACCACAGTATACAATATATCAATAAGAATAAATAAATACATAAATACATCTTCACATTTACATATTAATAAATATTTCACACTTTAATGTTACACCAAACCCAGTATTATAAAAACCCAGAAACCCAAGCACAAAAAGATTCACCACACTCTCTTTACCAATGGTCTCTCCCGGAACCTTTAAATGGTGTCTGGACCCCCGGGGAAACATTTGCCCAAACACCTTGAAGAGGACACAGGCAAGAAAGGTGAGTAATCATTAACTTACAAACACTTATTTGCACCACTTTTATCCCTAGATTTCACACACACATTTGCATTAGTTTTCCTTACTGGTCAGCCTTAATCACAATCTCAATCACCATTCTTCTCTCCTGACAGACAACCACCACATTCCTTGATGAGGAGCAGCTGTGCAGGATCTGAAACAAGGCCACCAACTGATTTTAAAATTCCCAATAAATAGTCAATAAATATTTAAACTTCTTGTGTGCAAATCCATGCTTAAAGTGCAATGCTCATAAAGTGCTTGATAAGGTGCTTTTAATAAAGTGAAAGGTGTGCTCTAAAGTGCTATACAGACAATACAATATAAATAAATGCAGTAAGGGAGTCCTCTTCCTTACACTCTTAATGAAAACTTCTTGACTTGTGGATTTATTTGTGGTTTTGTCTGTTCGTCTTTGCTAATGCAAAGAGAAAATTAGTGTTGAAATATATGTAGACCTGTAGAAATTTACTCGTTCGTGTAGAAAAACAGTCAAATGAAACATTCTGGAC